CACTTTCTGATTATCGATCCCATTGTGCAAAAAAAATATTTCTGATTGTGAAAAGAAAAATAATAGATTTCGTAATTTGTTAACGAATAAAAGCTTATATGGCAAGAAAACAAACTGTCGATCATATCATTTTTGGTTAAACACAAGTGGTTTTTTTTTTTTTTTTGTATAAACAATGTCTGTAATTTTCCTTCATAGTAATAAAGTAACAACATATTTATTTATCAACCACACATTAAAAACTGAAAAGCGATCCATCCTTGCTTTGGTTGTACAACCTGAATGAACATATCAACAAATCTGATTTAGGAACAGTCCAACCAAAACTATACACATTCTGTCTCACAATCTTTGACTATTGATAATCTAGTCGAGCCACTCGTTAGGAGATTGCATGATTTTGACCAAACTATACACATTCTGTCTCACAATCTTTGACTATTGATCATCTAGTCGAGGATATTCTGCATCGTCGCATAGCAAAGTTTCCATCACGGGTTTGAATAAGATCATATCTAGCTGAAGCTACCAAAAATTGCAATTACCATCGAGAAAGTCTGGCAGAAACTCGCGCATATCAATGTCTGAAAGACTGCCAAGAACAGTGTACCATCCTACCAGAAATTCTCTAACGTAAGGGTTTAAAACGTTCATACGTTCTTTTAAAAGAGGTATGAATTCCTCAATACTGCAAAATCCAAATGCAAAACAAGTGGAATCAAATGGAGAGTCAAGTCTCTAGAAGTAACAGAAACAAAGTTATTTTTTTACTAACTTTAACACACCTGAACTGATCACTTTCCAACACAAGCCACAAGGTATCAGCATATGACCAAATTCAATATACCGCTCATACCTTAACAAGGCGATCTAAATGACGAGCAGCACTTTGGACATCGGCATCAGAATCTGCTGAGAGTTTGCATAAAGCATCAAAAGTCTGATTGAAGAAAATAAGGAACTCGCGTCTCACAGCCTGTAGTAAACCAGACAAAAAAAAGAAAGCGATGTTTCATGAATGCTAATAAAAAGAATATATCAAACCACATGGATTACTACTACCAACAGTCTTTACCTTTGCAATGTTATAGAGAGCTTCACAAGCATAATAACCGAACTCGGCTATCTTGATCAGCAAAGGAGTTAATCACAAGTGGCACTATTTGCTTCACGTATTCATAAATCAAAAAGAAACATATTAGAAAACATCCTCCTAGCTATAATCAAAGAAACTAATACCATAGTTAGATTATATAGTAAACATAACTTCCATTATCTTGCTATGAACAGGTTTGAATATATATACCTCAAGATATTGTTGAGCAGCATCTGAAGACAAACCAATTGTTACAGCAGCTAAGCCAATAAGACCACCCTATTAAAAAGAAACAAATAAATCGAAAACCCCTGGAATCTAAAGTAAAACAATCGATGAAAATTGCAAACCTTTCAATGATTTGTTTGAGGGGATTTAGCAAATTCCTCAATCAACATGTCAATGACTTTGGAGATCTTGTCATAATCACCGGCACAAGTTAAACTCTTTGCAATATACTCAAGCTACAATTAGAAAAAGGGAAAGATATATACATCATCATCTCAGACAGTGAAAGAGCAAAAATCCAAAATCGCTAAGAGGCAAAGTTTATATATACATCAAGAGCTGAATTTTTCCGCTTAACATAGAGTTCATCGGAGAGATCGCGATGAACAGCGGCCGGAATCACGGAAAGAGCGTCCGACATGTCAGCTGGAACACCAAATTCAACCATGTCCGAATCAAAATCGAAATCTCCGACGACCTAAATCGGTATTTTCCGCCAAAAACACGACCGCTTCAAATCGGGTGTAGGGAAATTCTCTTTTTTTGCGAACGGGAAACGAAAATTTAACGTCAATGAAAAGTGTGTGATCACTATTGTAACGTCAATGAAAAGTAAAGGCATCATGGTTTACGCTATTTTTTACAAGGAAATGGTGTAAACCCAAAATGCTTTTTGGGTTTTGCTCCAATGTTTTACACTAATATGGAATATTCTAAATATATTCTCTTTTTTAAATTAATTATTAATTGTTAATAATACACTATAGTTTTAAAAATTTACGAATTGATCCCAACTATTTTATGTCTTTTTTAAAACTTCATAAAATATAATTTTATTTAAATTTAATATTTATGAATTG